ATATTTTATATATATATATATATATAATTGTCAATGTAGATATACGATCAATGTTATTCATATTTAATGCGCATATAACAATTATTATGATACAAATTCATGAGATTATTAAAATTTATAGCTATGAGAGAATGTAATGTGATATTTCCGTTATGTTCTGTAGTTACTGTATTAATTGTACGACGGGAAAAATTAAATTTTATTTTGCTAATTTTTGCGTATTTTATTCACATGTTTAAAAATGGTGGAATATTTCGATCCAAATAAGACGCGAGGAGGGAAGATATTTATACAGGAGTTTCCCAGCTCCCCTTGTTGAAACCAAATCGGTAAATGCATAGGGCGATTGTTCGACAAATAGAGGTCGGGAGTAAATAATGTGCAAACACAATTCCTGCTATGTATAGAAAGACGCAGTCCTCAATCTATGCGTGCATTTTATGTTTGATAAGAAAATCAGAATAGAATATTTGCGTACTTACTGAATCAAATTTCCAAATATATTTAAGTATGTATATATTTTTGTTTATATTATAAAAAAATCTTTTAATTTAAAGAAATATAATGGTTCGTGATAAAGTCTTCGGATACAACGCTTCGCCTGGAGGATGACGGTACTTTTTGAATGACTATGTTGAACATACCTTGCTCAATGAAATACCTTATTTTTCTTCCATCGGTAATGTTTTTTTTTTGTACATTATTTCTCATTATTCCAAAAAGATGCTGCAACCTTTCAAATTTATAATAACAATCTTACGAAACATTGTATTTTTTCTTGCCTGATTTATATTTTAGAATATTAGTAAAACTTTATAATTATAATTTAAATATAATTAAATTTAAATTATAAAGTTTTATAATTTATATATAATTTAAACATAATTTTATATATTTGAAAATATATCTCAACAATTGCTTGAATATATTTTATACATTTCAACAATTGTATCATATGAATGTTGAGATCTTTAGATGATCTTCACCAGAGTGCGTTAGATTACATTTCTCTGTTCGTTCCTTATACTGGTGCTTTCCAACAAGAGACAAATTAAAAATCTAGTTTATATCGATCATCATTTGTCTTTGTTTAGCAATTCAGTAAAGAACAAGGATAATAGATAATATAACTAGATTTGTGTTGTTTTTGTGTCTGTTGCTGAAAAATACCCATGATTACAGATCACGAACGAATGTAATGACTCGAATGGTAAGTATGTGAGTAAACTGTCATCGATCCTGAAATGAACGCCGTTGAACACGTCATGCACTACCTGCTGTAGTAATTGCGATAAGCAGATGGTCATATCTGCGGTCTGATTTTAAGAGTTACATGGATTCAAGGAGATAACTTATTGTTACGCGGCGCAGAAGCAGATTCGATTCTAGCGTTCGAATTGAATACCGTAATTTTATAATGGCGGAGGGACCGGAGTTAAATTTTTTTGATTTACGTACGGTACATGATCATTTTGATCAAGCTCTTTTGGAGAATGACGATATCGATTTGAAAGAATATCTGGACGCCTACAATGAACTGTACAAGTAAGTTAGGTCATTTACTTTTCTATCGTCATTCAACATAACCTTATTATCGTGCAGAGATTTTAATTTTAGATGAACAATTATGTGACATCTTTTTATGATTTATCAAAGTCAAAGTCATAAGTAATTGAAAGCAAATGATAACTAAATTAAATAATTTTTATATTATTATACTAAAATCGTTACATTATTTAATTGTTATATTATTTTAAAATATCAATTTTTAATAATAAATTTGGTTTAAACGATGTGACAAAAAAAATGTCATAAAAATTTTTATAGTAATTTTATATTATTTGCAAATCGAGCTTATTTTACTGTTATCTATTTTACTGTCTTATCTAGCATCTATTTGTTTTGTTCAATCAAAGAATTGATTGTGCTATCTATCATTAATTTGATATCAAATTTGAGATTATTAATCTATATAAGATCTATGTTTCGTAACATGCTACGTGCACATATAGATTTTTTCAGCTGATGGGCAGTGTCTTCAGTTTTGTTTCTTCTGATCTAAAGCAAAAAATAGATATCCTGATTGATTTGAAAAATAAGGATACCCAAAATTATATGACTGTTAAGTCTATGATCGAACATGAGAAAGAAAATAAGCTCCTAGAAAAAACTGATTTTGTCAATGGCGCACGTACTTTATTGCGACTACATAGAGGTTTAGGTAGTACTGTCATTGCTTCTTAATACTGTTTAGAAATTTGCAGTTAATTTACTTCCTTTTTTGGTTTTTTAGATTTTATTAGGGAATTTTTGCAACAATTGGGTGACCTCTCCGATGTTGATAAAACAGCTTGCTGTTGTCAAGACGCATATAGCAAAACCTTAGCTAAACATCATCCATGGGTGGTCAGAAAAGCTGCAGTAGTTGCAATGTACACTATGCCTACTAGAGAGGCTTTATTCAAGAAAGTATGTATTGATACAGAATTATTTTAAGTAATACATTGATACAAGCCAAGTACATGTTAACAAACAACAGTGAGAAACATAGCCGGTTTCACGGCAAGCAGGATCTTGATCGCTAAATCTTTATATGAAATAAATTCAATAATTATATCACCAATTACGTACTACTTAGCTTAACAAACTTTCAACGTAGTGGTTCTATAATAATTCGATAAATATTTTCAATATCGATTAAAATCTCTTTTATTATCCCCCAAGAATTATTTTAGACTTATAATATGGATGATTTTTTAAATGGCTTATTTTATTTTGAGTTTTTCTAACTCTCAGGTTTGCGGTGAAAATGTTCAACGGAATATAGATGTTCTGCCCAAAATGTTGGAAGTGACTGCCGACGTATTTAACCGTACTGACAGCATTTATGAAGCTTATCAACTACATACTCTACCATAAAAGAATATGGGAAATATTAAACTGATACTTTATCTGGTGCTTTTAGTTTCTCAATACATGGCACACGATATTCCATTTTTGTGATATTACTACATTAGAATATTTCCAAGATATTGTATAGTTAATATTAATTTCGCATTAATTTTTAATAAATAAGCACGTTTATTTTTGGGAATGTATTTCATTATAATTGATATGTCCAACAATACGTATATGTATTGTTGGACATATGATTATTAGACATACTGATAACGTACAAATAGTGGCACAATTGTACAATAAATATGTATCACTTATGTAATGTGATTTTATTTTTTTAACTTAAGTATATGTTGTTATGCGCGAAATTGATTTTATTAAATTTAAGCGTCGTTTCTAATAAGACTCGACAATCTCACGTATTTATAAGCCAAATATTTCGATGTTATATACAATTTATATTAAATAATAATAAAAAGAACGTAATGTAATAAAATTTATTTACCTCTTTACAATATCACCTGCTATTTAACAAGAGCAGTTCTTTATGTACTATTGCATTTTTTGTCAAAGATGAGAATTGAAATTTGAATCTCAAATATGTATAATATAATTTTTTAATTCTACAATATTTTAAATTATATTTATTGAAATTGTTTTTTCTGAAGTGACGTTTAACGCTGCCGTTGTGGATAATAATGAATCGTCATCGAGCAGCATACCTGAAACAAAATTAAAATTATCCAATAACGTAAAATAGTGCAATAGCTTCAGGAAAGAGATGACAAAGTTCTGTTGTGAATTGTCAAGATTTCAACTTTACCGGCAATGCTAGCGGTGAGAAAACAGACGGCGCTACCAGTAATAAATGCTCGCAGAATGCATTCCGTTACTTCTTTTTTCTTTTCTGGCGCTAAAGATGAAAAGACACCGATCTGGATACCAATCGAGCTCGGATTCGCGAAACCGCAGATCGCAAATGTAGCTATCGCTTCCGACCTTCCGAATAGTCGGCCCTGCTCTTTGAATTCGCCCATCTTTTGATAAGCGACTAATTCATTGACCACTGTCTTCAAACCTATCAACGTTCCCACATCCTCGCAATGATTCCAAGGAACGCCCATGAGCCAACTTAGAGGCATGAAAACTTTTGCCAATATGATCTGCAAAATAATATAATTCTAAAATTTGCCCAAAAGGATGGATATTTTTAAAAAAAATAAAAAGAGGGAGCGTTGAAAATGTTTTTACCTCTAGACTCAGTTGATCGTAACCGACCAGGCCGCCAAACCAGGAGAGTATTCCATTTACAAATGCAATGAAAGATACAAAAGCCACAATATTTGCGATTATACCTAAAATAATCGGGATTGCGGCTAATGCGCCATTCGTAGCGGCGTCTAAAATACTGGTGTCTGATCTATTCACAATTTAAGTTATCAAAGCTATTAAGATCATTAAGACCAATGATTTATAAAAATTTTCAATTTATAAAATTTACTTACGATTTTTCAAGCTTGATGTTGTCAGACTTCGTGGAACTTTGCTCAGTTTCTGGATAAAAAAGTTTGGAATAGGCTAAGGAAGTTGGTGCAGACATTATCGAAGAGGTTATTAAATGAGCTGGTTTAGCACCAAACGATATGTAAGCAGCAAATACCGTGCCTGTAACGGATTGAGTAATTAATTAGAAATTAAAATTTACACTGTTGATAATTCGTACTTGTGTGTTAAGTGCGTACGACAGACCAGAAACTGTGGAAAATCCTGAACTTAATACAGCATGCAACTCCGAAGAAGTCAATTGTTTGATGTATGGTTTGATCATAAGAGGAGATTCGGACTGAAAAACAAAACAAATTAATTAGTAATTTTGAATAGAGATTGGAAATTATTTTCCATTATTTTCTATTTTATGAAAATAGGAAATTCGACGAATTGTCGATTTAGATATTTAAACAATATAATATTCGTCCCAATAAAATTTCTAATCACCATTCCAATAAAAGGATTGGCAGCAGCACATAATGATTCACAGAGCGTTGTACCCATTATGGTTTGTAAAATCCATCCTAATTTCATAATAATCCATTGCATTATACCAAGGTAGCACAAAATCTGCACCGTGAAGCTGAAGAAAAAGATCACGGGCAGTACCTAATGAGCAAAATGCCAATACCAATTTATATCAATAATCAATAGTGGTTTGTGATAATAAAAAATTGCAAATGAAAGTAATTGTAATAGTGAAATATACAAAGCGGTGCAAAATTTTCTGATGATAACATTAATAATCTAATATTTCTAAATAAATAAGTGAATAATCATAATTAATAAGTGAAAAAAATCAACTAACAGCGAAAGCAAAGACTCCTTTGTCGACTAGATCTGCCGAAAATACAAAGCTGGAGCCAACTTTAGCATAATCCAAGAAAGTGACCACTTTACCAGACAAACATTCGAAAATATTGCGACCAACGGGCCACCGAAGCGTAATAATTCCAAATACAAATTGTAAAATCAGGCCACAAATAACAGGTCTCCAGTTAACCTGTAGATATTTATTAAAACTGTTAAAATAATATATGTACTTACTCGAATACTTTTCTTTTTTTCTTTGACATATCTTGAGTATTGTATACTTCGCAACAAAGATTTACAAGATAAACAAGAGAGATTCCGCGTGCATTAAGTGCATTAGACTGCTTCAACGAAGTAGGTTAATTTCTGCGGAATTGGCAACGCGTCTTCCACTAATTCTCTCCGACACAGCTCGTTTATGTTTCATAATAATTGGAATGCGTTCAATGTAACAAATAAAAACAGTAAAGTGTAAAATTATTATTTTAAAATGTAAAATTAATGAATATATTATTATTATTATTATTATATTTTTTATTTACTTCAAATAACAGTGAAAAAAGAGATTTATTTCCTATCATTGTAAAAATTGTTAGATAGATTGAAATATAATTGGCATCGGAAATGGAATTGGTATCGGAGATAACAACTACGGAAATTAAGCTTCAAAATGATATGATCTACTTGCCTGTCCCGGATGTTTAGAGAATAGCCAACCAAATCCTAGTATGACGATAATGCAAAGAATACTGATTAGTCTGTATCTCGAATCTGCGGTATCGACGATAAGAAAAGCAATTATGACTATTAATACAACTAAATAAATAATTGTCACTCCGATGCACGTCCCATATCTGGAAATATTTTATAAAGTTGATATTAATGCGTATAATTTTCATTATTAAGAATAAAGAGAGATAATGATAATTTGTTTACTTGGTAGTTTGTAAACGTTCCAAGGATTTCGTTGCTGGTCGACAGCATCGTATGATGTATTTCCCGAAATATGGTTTTACTATTAAAAAATAGAATACGCCAAGATAAGTAAGACCCGCGAGTATAAGTAGCATACCATTTCCGTTACACCATTGAAAATCATTATAATCCTTTTCTAAAAATTAAAAGGAAATGTATGTTACGTATATCATAGTACTTGTAAATTTAGCTCTATTGTTGAACACTAACGGTATTAAATATGTAACGTAAATTCTGTTCTGTGAGGCAAATTAACTTACGTTCCTTTTTCCAATGTATACTAGCGAAAACTATATAACTTATGAATAAAAGATTTAAAATTATTATGCCAACAATTTTTAAAATCTTTCGGTGTTTTGAAAGATAAGCATTGATCGCGTTGACGGTCCGAGATTTTGTTAGTTTATGATAAAAATTGGCATCCTGCGAAAACAATTCTATATGTTACTACAATTTTAATTTATTACTATATGTTATACGAATAAATTCTGAATGACATTAATGCGATATTATTGTACTGCGCTTTATCTTTAGTTTTCACATTAAAATGAGAATACGATAACATTATATCATAGAACTATTACTCATTAACTGTTGTAAATTATACGCTTTGCTCTCTGTTTATTACCTTCAAATATATATTTTAAACTGTAGTTGGATATGATCAAGTTGTGTTTCGAATAAAGACATTCTTTTGCAATAAGATGAAAGTTGAATAAAAATGATGCGCTTACCTGATATGCGATAGGTTCGCTTTTCCGACGACCTTCCTCTATCACGTCTAACTGATTGTCCTAATGATCGAAAAACTTATATATAATAACTATTTTCCACAACCATCTTTGATTTCTCTAATAAACATAAGAGTTAGGAGACAATATACGTATAAAAGATATTTTATTTTAAAATATAAACAATGATATATTTTAAAGTAATAAAAATAGAAAGCTATATTTTGTTAAATGTGTATTTTTTAACTTTGAATAACATGATAAAAAAATATATTATTGATAATTCAAAAATATTACTGATTACAATTATCTAAATATGAAGTTTATTAGGCAGGTAAATTACTTCAAACGCTTGATTCGCTCTTCCAGACATGCCCACTTCTTTCCACCTCACTTTATAATTAAATTATACGTAGGCATATACATATATCTTCCTTTTGTCGTTCTTCCTACAGTACTGACTCAAAAGAAGAACGGAAGAATGTACTTTTCGATACGCGCAAAGAATAATAATTCTCATACACCTCGTAATCTCATTGAAGTTTGATCAACAGATAACATTGATAACAGGACGCCTTGTAAAACTTTGGCCGTAATTTTCTGATGTAAGTTTGCACTAAACACTCACACACAAAACTCGGGCTCTTGTCATAAACATATTATATAAAGAGCTGTTCGATTAAAATCCAAAATTGTCCAAAATTGTTTTAAATTGATATCCATTCAGTCGCTTTTAGAAAAACTGATGAAATTTTTTTACATAAATATAATTATCAATTTTAATATCGATGAATCGGGCATTTATCTGCGCATTAATTAAGGCTTCATATTCGATAAATATTTCAATTGCATCGCTTAACGAAAAAAAAAATAGATTCGATCGCTTAACGAAGAAAAAGATTTTCGATGACAGGCGAAAACATATGTGCGCACTGTAGAAACACTGAGATATTGTTTCCTATAACTACGTGCAAGACTACGTAATGATAAGACACTCGATGAACTACTGAAAATCAGCGACGAGGCATTGTGCGAGGTACAACGAGGTACGTGGAATACGTGAGTGGGGACACTCATCATTCTTACCGTGACATTTTGAATGAAAAAAAAGACATTGCGAAACCTGTTTTATCATCGTGACAATTTTTTATAATAGATTTTGTTGAGATATGGATTATCTCAATTCAGGTTTATTACATATCTTTCCACTCGTGAGTTTTGTAATCTAATAAAGTACAATTTGTGAAGCCTTCAACTTTGTTTTATATCATACGATATATTTAAATATATACAATTTCCTTCCAGATTTATATGGCATATGAATTTTTCGACACACACGCGGCAAACACAGCATACATATATCTCTGAAGACGTTAAACGTATCGCAGTTCAGTTATATTTTATTAAAAAATTTTTATATCAAATGTTTTTCAAATAACAATGAAGATAAGTAATACTATTGATGAACGTTTTTG